AGGATGCTTTTGACTCCAGAAGAGCGCCAAGAATGCTACAGAGGGTCAGTCTTGCCCAAGGAAGAGCTCCTGGGTGACACAGTGGAGCTGGCGCTCGGGCTTCTTACAATTGCAATGAGACACCCAAGTCATTTTCCGAATTGGGGTGGCCTTGAGGGAGCAAATGCGTGCGCGAGAGGAATCGAAAGATCATTCTTCCGCTACGCGTCGGCCGAAGCTATCGAGCTGATCACGGTTGACTCCCCGCGCAAAAGGACACCGCCCAAGAAGAATGAAGCAGTCGCTGAGATCGTCAACAACATGTCCGCTGACCTCGTGATTGATTTCACAGTGATCGTCGATGGTGATATCTACCCTGTAGAGATTGCGAGAACCGACGAGACACAGGCCGCTGACAACGTCACGGACGATCCAGGGTTCTCAGTTGCTCCACCAATACCTGCACAGGATGTAGATGTGGATGCGCAACCCGAAGAAGAACAAGGTGCAGAAGGCCCTGATCCCAGGCATGCAATTCGTGAAGGATTTGTCGCGCAGCTTCAGGACTATGTGGGCGTACTCGCTCAGGGCGAAATGTCAGTCGGAAGCGACCGCATCACGTTCTGTGTCGCTTGTGGCAGTGATCTACACACTCTGTCCAATTGCACAGAAAATGCTGCAACCCGGGATCTGGTACTTCGAGGCGTCCAGATTATCAAGGAAAGTCTTCTTCGATATCCACGTCGAGTACCTACACAAGAGGCTGAGCCAATGGACGTTGACACCACAGATCATGTGAGTGTTGCATCCTCGGACCGACGACCCAAGGCCAAAGCCCGACCGCGACGCGGAGGCGAAGCCGTACGGGGTGATGTGGTCTTGATCCGTTATGAGAACAAACACAATCTCTGCACGGATGTGGAGAATCGTCGGGGCCTAAATGATGCTTGTGGCGTACCACTGCAGGAATCGGGACCAGAGAATAGCCAGCGAGTGGTGGACATCATTGAGCAGCTTTCGGACCATCGCGACCGACGCCTACCTCAACGAGGAGACCGTCCTAGCTTTGCTTACGATGAAAACACTCATAGCTACACCAATGCAGGCTATGAATCCATCGGCGGCGGAAGGCCAATCCGATGCGGGATTCTCGACCTGATCCCAACCAAGGGTGCAAGCTTCATCAACAATCGGTGGGACCTCGTGAACGAAGTTGTCCTTCGCAACATCACCCGTCAGCGCAGACTGAACGCGGATTGGGCGCTATCATGCATCCAGTCTGACTTGCGCCACAGAATCGCCAGGCGCCCAGGCTCGGAATGGCTTGACAACAGGTGCCAGGTGGCATTCAACAGTGTCATCAAATGTGATGAAGGAGGATGGGTGATGATCGAAGACTTGGTGAGGCATGAGCCACTATGGACCCATGAAAGCAGACGCATCACCGAAGGGGTCTCAAGGACCGATGATCAACAGAAGAAGAGAGTGTACAATGAAAGACTTCAGCTATTGTTCCAGGGGAACATGATTGCAGCCACGAAACGCAACAAGGCCAAGATTCGGTTGCAGTTCCTGGGTGTGAGAGTGAAGGACCCCGGCACGGAAGTTCTTGGATCAGCAGGTTCGAACAGGTTGGTATCGGTTCAGGACCAGATCACGGAGATCCAGAACAACGATCATTGCCGGCATGGCCAGAGGTACCTGAACATATGCAACGGCTGGGTGAAGCCATGGGCAGTTCGGGCTACGAGTGGTCACTCTGCGCACTCAGATCCCCAGAACAACTTGCTTCAGTTGGACAAGAACAGGTTCGCAATATCTCCATCTATGACCCTCTTGCAACGTCTTGGAGGTGCGTTCCACGCTACGGCATGCCGCAACTTGGATTCCATTGTCACGCAAGGCATCATGCCTGGTTCGGAGGACCCCGACGGGGACTTCGACCATAGGCGCCAATTCCGAGGCAACCAAGGTGGCAGACTCCACAGCTATTGGGGGGTGTTTGCGCCGTTCGATCACCGGAACGCAACGACCAAGATGCGAGTACATGGACGAGACGCCAAGCACATGCCATTGGCGGTTCTTCATGTCCCATCGCAGGACCTTGCACGAGAGGATGGACGTATCACAGACAGCGGCATCATGATCGTTGGACGAACGATACCTTTCCATTTCGTCAAGGAGGTATGGTTCTGCGTCCCTGATCCTCGAGATACACACTCTTTCGCTCTGGTGGAAAAGATCTACGATGAAAGGTTGGAGAAAGAGCTGGTGTTGGACTACAATGCATCACCGTTGCTTCCTGAGTTCGAGAGATACCGAACGCCAAGCAAGATCATGGAATTGCTTTGCGAGATGCCTCCTGGACCCCACGACACAAGCAAGGAGCAGATCATTCGAGACCTCACGACTGTCCTGGAGTCCCACAGGGAGAACACGGTTCGGCATCACTACATGGACAAAGGAATCAAGTTTGTCATCAAGAATTGGCGACCCGAAGACCTACGCAGAGACGAGGATGGACGGAGAATGAGGGTATGCCCGGCATGCTACAACATCGTTCCAGCATGTTTCTCCCGATGCACGTCTTGCTGGTCACAGTTCGTTTCGAGCGGATATTACCAAGGTTCTCCACAACGGGAGACTCCTACGGAGATCCCCAGTGACTTCATTGCTCAGACAATGGAAGCCGCAGCAGCCGCAGTGCCTGAGGCGCCCGAAGAGGAGCAGGAAGCCATGGAGGTAGAGACCGTTGCGGAACCTGAAGAAATCCCAGAGCCATCTGTCATCGCGGAAGACGATCCAGAACAGGAACCTGATGAAGAAATGGACATCGAGCCTGGAGAGGACTTTGATGACGCAGTTCCAGAAGCAATCGCACAGGAACGTCGTCCCGTCTTCGTTACCGGCCAGTCTTTGAACATCGATCCTGAGCTACAACTTGCACGTACCGCCATGCAGCCATCCTACTATTCTGGAAAGCGAAATGCCCATTGCATTGACGCGAACATGACCGCTCTTTCGTACATGGCATACGTGGTATGCAGATCCATCTACAAGGCTTGGTCAGGATTCGCAAAGTGGGCGACTATGCCGTTGTTTCAGATGAGGGAAAGTTTCGCACTTGGCCAACGCTATGATGTGCTTGGAAAGTGGGGATCTTTGGCGGCAGTGGATAGGGAAACGGGTGTGAGCAAGGATGTGACTGATGAGGAGATCATTCGCTTTGCCAAGGAACCTGAGAACCTCAAACAGTATGATCCCAACGGGACTTACACCTTGAAGCGCTTCCGGACGAACCAGATGCTTTCTTTACTTACACGGGGAGCCAACATGATGGGAATTGGCAGGGACAACTTCAACCCTACTACTTACTTGAAGAGCGAAAGGGATGAAGATGTGAAGGCTATGCACTTTTGTTGCCTGAACGTCCTGTGCGAGGTGATCCCAATGGTGACGGGACACCAACAATTCTCAGTGCTACGACCAACGCCAACTGGACCAGTGGACTTCTTGTACATCGACCCCGTCGGTATTCTGCTGACTCATTCTGATCAGTCAGTCCAGACCATCGGCTTGCTGGTGGACCACAGTGTGCAAATGCCTGCACATTTCATGGACAGATTGAACAGATCCAAGGCTGAGAGACAGCAAAACCCGACGACCAAGCGTACGGAAGCCCTACACCACATTTCGGCCGCTGACTATCTTCCTCCAGGTGGTACATCCATCCTGGACACGCCTGTCACTACGGAGGAACGTGAAAGCGCTTCTTCATCCAAGGGACCTTCAAAAGGGCGTGGAAGAACCGGAGGTGAGCAACATGGTGGCTGGAACACCAATTCCTACCACGACTACATCGCCGGCAAAGGCCGAAACAAAGGCAAGGACAAAGGAAAGCAGAGGAACCAGTATCCAGAGGAGAACCTCCGGCCCTGGGACCGCGATCCTACGTCAACGCGAAGATGGTGGCGAGACAACGCCTGATCTTCCTCGCCTATCAGTTCGTGACCTCTGAGCTTCGCCGTGGAATGCCATCGCGAATGCTTCTTTCTTCGGTGACGCCTGATTCGTTTGTCATTTCAGGGGATCGTTACTGACGTAGATGAGTGTCACAACGTTTCTAATTGGGATGCAAAGCTCTGATTTTCAATGTCAACGTTGCGGCGGAACATTTTCTGTTGTCCTATCGTGCCATCTTCCGGGTGAGCAGCGTCGGAGACGCAACTCATGGGGGGTGCGAACGGACTGCGATGCCTTGTCAAGTTCTAAGGTGTCACTATAAGAGCTGTGAGCAAGACCGTGTAAAGTGCAAGAGAAGGGGGCACGCTACGCGTCCCTCGACTCTAAGGGGGCATGCTACGCATCCCTCATCTTTACCTTTCTATGTGACCGCCAACGCAACGTTTGGCTCAAGTCAATGCCCATAGCTAAGTGCTATATGTGTCTTCTATCCTGAGCAATCAGAGCTATCCCGTTGCACAGACGAACCGCCGCCGGCAGTGAGTGCAAAAGGAACGGCCGCCGGTTCTGCCTGCATAGGATCGCACGTGTGGAAGTAAGAGGGAGAGACAGGGTCCAGTCTGTGGAGAGTGCTAGCCAGCCACACCTACATTCATTACAGCTCTGGTGGGGAGAGCAGCAACCAAGTCGAGATCAATCCCCCACGCACGAATGTTCACGGCGTTGAAGCTCACCAGCAGTTAGCCAGCTTCCTGAATTGACAAGAAACTGACAGGGATTTAGCACGTTAGAAAGGAATTCAAAAAAATCGGCAGTCGTGAATTGGCACTCATCAGCAGTTTGGACTTCACTTCAAACTACCGAAAGCTGGAGTACTTCATCTTCAGTCAGCGTAAGACATTCCCACTAAACGTGAAAACAAAAGTCGTAACACTTTGGTCCACATATTCTAGTAGGATGTATCAATTAGTGGGGGGAATGTATCGATCACCTGGTACCGCTCCCGCTGGTGTCAGATGCATCGTTTTGACATATGTATCCATCGCAACACAGGCAGCATGGCTGCGAGCGATGGGCCACCAACCAAGATCTGCAAAAGAGACTGGGAGGATTTTATTCTGGCCAGAGGGAGTTATGAAAACACCTTGCCAGACGATGCAATGCCGTTTTTGAACAGAACGACAGAGCTATTTGTAATCATCGAAGAGAACATCAAAGCAATCCGGCAACTGAACATCTCAACCAATCTCACGGACTATCGGAAGATGAAGGTGTGCTTTGCTGCACAGATGTTTGGCGCTGGCAAGACAATGTTGGGCCGCAACCTTGTTCCCCAGCTAAAACTTGCAAAATCTGATTTGCAGGCCCACCTGAAAGCCTTCTTGGATAAAGAGAAGGCTAAGGGGGAAGATGGAAGAAAATTTGCTGCTTTCTTCAGCCGAGAAGTGGAAACTCTCAAGCAAGCAGAACGGCTTTATGTGGACTTCAGGGGGTTATCAGATGTGGCCGCTGTGCCGGTTGAAACGGCCCGTGTTGCGAACACGAAGGGGCCCCAGCAAACCGATGTTGCTGGTGGAATTGCGGAGGTGCTCATGGAGGCGGCGAAAATCACTCAGAAACCACTCTTTGTGCACTTTGATGAAATCGGGGGTTTCCAGGTCCCGGATCTCCGGAAGCTACGTGATGGAGTGATTCGCACGTGGGCAAGCATGAACCAGGAAGCTGTTAAGGGCCAGGTTATGCCCCGCATCTATTTCTATTTTTCTGGCAAAAGCGTGCCGCTGTTGGAATTGGGCAATCCCCATTCTCCCGTTGGCACTAGGTGGATCATACTGGACAAGCTCCATGAGCAACACGTTGGTGTCATCAGAAAAGAACTGCTGAGTGAAGTTGAGTGCTGCGCAGACATTGATGGCAGATTATGCCAATGGACTGGTGACTGGTGGTGCTCCGCGGCTGCTGCTGTACACTCTTCGTTATTTGTACTCCTGGAAGCCAAACTTGAGCACTCCACACGCTGTTGATGTGGCCATGAGCGATGCCTATTCTTGCTTCAAGGGCATTGACATGGTCGCCAGAGACATTTTCATCACAGGAGTTGAAAACAGCCCAGAGGCCACTGCCGTCAAGATGCCTGGCTCCAGCTCCTGGTGCTTGCGCAGCTCAAGGTGCCCATCCAAATGAACACAGAGATTGCAACTCGAACAATGCAGTTCTCTGTCGAAAAGCTATTGTCTGTCTTGAATGTCTATATCGCAAGAGGACCAGGCGCATCAGAAAATGCGGCTGAAGTGAAGGATGCCAGCTTCTATATAGACATCATGGACTTCATCAAAATCTTTGTAATGGAGACATATGAACAGAATTTCCGGACACCGCTTTTTTTTGGTGACTCTGCCGGGGCTGGGCTCAGTGCTGATGATGTGCTTGAGCGCTTGGTGGAGCATCGCATCATTGTCCAAGCCTGCCTGGCTGACAAGACGACATGGAAAGCGCTCCTGTCTCCGCTGCTTGACAAATCCAAGCATGCAGGTAAAGGCGTCCAGTTGGACAAACGTGCTCCAATCAAGTGGATGCCAGCAGCAACGGCAGCATGCAAGGTAAATGTCACCAACGAAGACACCGAGGGTCAGGTTTTGCAGAGATCGACTATTCCCCCGCAAAGCCTCACCAAGGTTGTGAACGACAAGTTGAGGTCGAACCGAATTTACCGACCTCGACCAAAATCCAAGTCAGCCGACACCATCATCAAGCAAGAAGACTTTGTGCTCGAGATACAAGACAAGAGCGGGCTAGCAGCTCCGTTGGAGTGGGCTGCAGTCTGCACAGAGGCGCAAAGCTTAGATGGAACGTGTTTGTCACCGTTGAGATGTGCTGACTGTAGGTCTGCCCAGCAAAAGCAGCAAAACATCCAAAGCAGCGCAGGATTAGGAGAGCGTAGGGCGTACTAGCTTGGTGTGAAGTCTTGGCTTAGCGTGCAGACGTGCAGCAGTGTGGTAACAGGAGTCATTCCTTATGTTTGCAACTTGGCAGGTGGAGAAGTCCATCAAGGACACCGAAGTCTCCTTACTGTTCATCGCGCTGGCTCTTGGCCCGGAGCTGTCTGGCTGTGTTGGGTCTGGATTGCTATGCCTAGCTGCTGGCACCTATACTGCATCTCAACGAAAGAGTTCTTGCTGTTCCGGCCAAGAGAAGCTACACAGTGGACATTTCAATGTTCGCAGGGTATTTGGAAACCATTCGATGACAATCAGACTGGAGAAGGCAAGAAATGCTTGCAAGTCAGACCTTCCTTGGAGGTCATCATTGCTATGATTTCAACAGTGTGAGGAGATTGGCTTGCGGCAAGGAGAGGTCACAGAAGATCTCCATCCCTTTCATCTCGCGCTTCTTTGGCTTCAGCACCATCAAGGTGGATATTGCCGCGGAAGGCAAGCTTTCAAAGGCTTTCTGTTTCTCGTCATGTGTTCTCACTGATGGTGAGTTGACAGACGCGCTGAGACTACTTTGTCCTTGTTCTCTTCTTTGGTGTGTGACAATGAAGTTCCAACAACCTGTTCAACAACCAGTTTTCGAACTTTCAAAAACCTCCAGGTTTCTCCTTGGAACTAAACAGCTTTGGCGCTCCCCTGAGGCCAAACAGCAAGCAGTTCTGGATCAGGCACATCGGTTGAAAGGGTTTTGAGCTGGGAACCGGCTTCTATGAATTCTGATTGTGAGAATGAGATTGCACATCACCTGCGAGGCAGTGCCCCAGCGCAACCGTCAGTCATTTGGGCCCGTCAACTTCTCAAGGACTACGACTTCGATGAAGCCTTCGCGTTCCTGTGCAAGTGCTTCAGTCGACGTGTTGGGTTTCCATGATGGTCTCTTGTAACTGCCCCGTCCCAACACGGCATCTCAGATTTGCAGGGTTTGTTGCACTTTTTGTGTCCAGCATGTCTCAGCTTCGCCGGGCATAGGTTGAATGGATGCAATTGGCATGAACTGGGATTGTAGCGCGTTTGCTCTGCGAGGACGGGTCTACGATTGAGGTCGCCGGCAATGCATTTCAAGTCAAAGGGGCCATTGCAAATGCGGCGATCTCAGCTGCGCCACTTTCTGAGGGTTCCTGGGAGTGTCTTCGCGAGTTTCTGAGTGCGGTTCTGTGCTATGAGCTTATGAACGGTTCTCCACGCTTTTGGTGAGCGACGTCAGGTGGATGATCTGAAGAAGGTCCCGTGCTTAGAACTGGCGCGTGGATTTAGCTCGTCCTGTCTTCGGAGTTGTTTGCAGGAGGGCGATGACAAAGATTGTAGTTTTGAGTGTCCATGTTTGCACCTCTTGCAGCCCGTGAAATCAGGCAATCAAAGCTGAAGCGGAATTGAGCTTTCATTTTCCACTGAGCCGTTGCTGAGCCTTGCTCGAGGCTATCAAGAACGAGAACCCTCAGACCGTGACGTGCGATGCGTTCCAACTAGATATATACAGCCAGCAGGAGAGCATTTCACGTCAAATCCGCTCTGCCACCTAGGATCTAGGACCTAGGCCTCCCTGTGCCGCGTCTCAGCTTGACTTGGCAGGATGGACACTGGGTGAAGGAAGAAGCGATGTCAGCAAGTCTGCGCGGCACAACTGAGCCCAGCACTTGGTTTCGATGACTTTTCCGCTTAGGGGTTTTTGCCGTCGCCCCGCTCGCAGGTCAGATTGCTACTGGTTCACGCTGCCACAAAAAACGGACGATGCTTAAGTTGCGTGCGTGTGCCTCAGCAGCGCTGGAGTTTGAGCGCTGCAAACTTGCATCGTTCTGTATTGCGTGAGCTTCTCGGCTGCAGATCGCGCGGGTTTGATCGGATCATGCCATACGGACTCCAATCGGCTCAAGTCCCGGAATTCCCGCAGCACACAATCCAACTTTGCATTTCGTTTGAGGCGCATCTCGCGTCGCAACTCTGTACGGATGGACTTGGACAATCTGCAGCGCTCCATCTTGTCACGGCAACCACGGTATCCCAGCAAAAACTGTAAAAGATCTTGTGCATAAATCCCGTGGCGCTTGAGACCTTCAGCCATGGCCGTCACTTCAGCATCTGGTGCCGACAATGCGGTAGCACCTTGACGATGCGATCGCCAAGCAAATGTCGCACGAGTGCCGTGCGACCCAACAAGTTGCAAAACGGCTCCTGATGTCGATCGCCTGGTATCGGGATCCGTCGCCCAATCAGAATCGACCCACAATACTAGCTTCAGAGTGCGTTGCTGCACATCGACAAGATTGAGAACCAATCTAAGTGCGGAGGACCTAGTCGCCGCCAAATACCCCAACAAACGATGCAACGCAGCATCCTGTCTTCTTGTCCATTTTGTGGTGTACCGACCCAACCACCCGACAGCAAATGAGATCTCAGGACGACTGTTCCTCGCTACCCACAATCCAGCCCCTACGTAGGAACCGCAGTTTGATAAAAAATGACCTGTCTCGCTCATGTTTGAAACATCATTGGCCGCGAGCTTCACAGCCGGAGTGTCGTATCGTGGAAGTCTGTATGCACCAATCTCATCCATGTACTTTCTCGTGAGGGTGTCGATGTACGCATCCTGCTTCACTAGAAATGTGGCACCATCCTCTTGGTCGCGCGATAAGATCTCCTCGGAGACTACTGACAGGTTGAGGCGGGTCCGCGAAATCGAAACAGTCGAAAATCTCAGCCCATACATGTCCCGCCAGCTTGAAATCATCGACGAAACGGCCCATGCCCACAATGTGCCCGTTATATTCCTTCTTGAAAATCGGGCGCTCAATGTCACGAGCTTGCAGCCAATGCTTAAGCAACAACCGGTCGTCAGCATGATCTTCCCAATCGCTGTTTGAACGTGTGAGCCCATAGATGGCCATGTACAACAAGTGCACAGGACAGCGCATCTCCAGTTCGGATTGTGTGCGAAACTCTCTTGGTAAACAAATCACCAGCCCATGGCATCTCCAACGCGCTGTTGAACTGCTAGCACCTGACTACCACGCTGTTCTCTTTTCCTCCTATCGACTTTTGTTGAGATTCTCCTCGTAGCGCATTGTCGTCTGGGCATGGAAAACTTGGAGCCGCCTATCCCCGACACTGGAGGTAGCAGCGGTAGCGACGTCGAGGACCCAACCGCTGCTGATCGGGGGACAATACCCGTCGGTCGGAGGAGAAACCAGCCCTTTATCGGCACGTGCATCGGGCACGATGTCAGCTGGCGAGGATCTCAGGTCATCCGGGTCGTCACGCTCCAAGCGGGCGGCATCGGTGGAGCAGATCGCGAGGCATGGGGCCGTTGGTGGGCAGATTGCGCCGCGGAACTGGGAGCAGATGTTTTTGTGTTAGCCGAAACACGAATTGGTACCACAAGGGGGCACACTCTGGCTGTGACCGGTATGGATAAGGGTGGATACGTCGGTATTAGTCACAATGTGGACCCAATGACTCCCACCCCATCGCAGACCCCTTCGCCAATGTCATCGGGTATCATCATAGCAGTCCGCAAGGACTACGTAGGGAACTGGCAGCAAGTCGCCAGAGATTCGGACGGGCGTGCTCTGGCTGGCACACTCTTGAAGGACGATGGAGCTGCAATCCGGGTGGTAGGGGTATATGGCCCCACTGGTGCAACCTCCGCCTCCTTCGACCACGATGCTCGGGCACTCTCGCAGGAACAGAGATTGGTCGAGTTTGTCTCCGACCAAAAGGCAAAAGCACTACTTACGGATTCTTCGTTGCTGGTTGCAGGGGACCTGAACAGCTACTCTTCCCCGGACTTGGACTGCTGGGAAGGTCCCGCCACCGCCAGACCCGCGTGCCTCGCGCTTCGGTTACAGGAGATGGGTTTGCACGACTGTTTCAGGGAACTCCACTCACAACTGAAGGCTTATACGTTTTTCACTCGACAGGGAACCGCTAGCCGACTGGATCAGATTTGGTACTTGGGTGGCATTGGGGGAACTAGTCAAGTGCTAAATGCAGCGGTGGTTTGGAGATGGCAACGGCGTACTGATCATGACCCTGTTGTGGTTGACTTCCGCCACTCCCTCCCAACAACGGCTGCCCCACCGGTTTCCGCCGACGAAGTGAATTGGCGTCGGGTTGTGCAGGCCAGTATGAACGCTGTGGAGGCTGATGAGCTCCGGGCTCAGATCCGGGATGCCCTAGACCCCGCGCGCCATTCACTGGAGGAAGCCATTACTAATGTCCGCCAGCAAACTGCTGAGCTGCTCAATACACCGTCGCCCTTGGCTACGGTGCTCGAACCTGGTGGTGTACCTGATCGACGGGACCTCAACTTGAGGGAGGCCATTGAAAGGGCCACCTCCATCTTCCACTCTTCTGTAGCCGCAAGTCTCCCCCGACACTCGGCCAATCAGGACTTTGCACTATCTAGGGTGAAGGCCTCGTGGGAGGAGTGTATCCATCAGCTCCGGAGTTTGAAACATTGCTGCTGCATGTTAGCGATACCGACCAGGCATTTAAGCAGATTTCGGATCAGCATGTGGTGGTTCAGAAACTCTGAGAGAGAAGTGCGGACTTCACCCGCAAAATCGTATGGGGTACGGAACGATCAGAGGACAGCTTCTCCATCGAGGATTGGGACGGATTCCGTTCAGACCCGAAGGCGTGGGCCAGGTCACTTATTGGTGTATCGGAGCAAGCCATCCAACTTTGGGAACCTGCTACACAAACAGTCGAAACCGAGCCAACAGGTAACTTTCTTCAACCACTGGAATGGCAGTCCCCGGCGGTGAACCGTCGAGCGAGATTGGAGGGCGCTTCACTGGTGAACTCGTGGATTTCCGCTGCCAGGAACTATCAGGCCAGATGTCAGCGACGTGCTGCTCGGGACGGTGGCAAATCTAGGAAAGCGGCACTCCGCAGGCTGGACTTTAAGACTTGGGCTAGAATGCTCCGACCCCTTATCGGCCCGACCTCCAGGTACTCTC